CACATCAACTTGTCACACAGTTCCATTGCACACCAATGTTTCCTCACAACAGCTCAGTTATAAGCCAACTTGGGGGTCCAAAAGTAGAGGGATGGATAAAGAAAACGTGGCCTGAACACAATGGAACCTTTCAGTCACAGAGAAGAACAAAGTTAGATCTTTTGTGGTACAATGGATGTGGCTGGAGATGACTATATTGAGCAAATTCAACCAGTTCAAAAGGCAAATGTTGCATGTTTTCTATCATTTGTGGGTCTTAGGCTTTAAAGATATATAATAAAATCATGTATTTACAAATGACATGAAGCAAAAGACTTTCTAGGGAACAAAGAAGGAACAAAGGGGACTTAAGAAGGGTAAGAAAGGGGAAAGAAACACGGGATGGGAGTGTAATATGATTAAAACACATTTACATGAAAATGGCCTCACATAACCCTGTTAAGATAAAACAAAAACAGAAATTCCAAAGAAAAATCAGTGTAGCTTTTTTTCCCCCTTAAGACAGGATTTCTTTGTGTAGCCTTGGCTTCCTAGAACTAGCTCTGTAGACCAGGTTTGGCCTCAAATTCAGAGATCCATCCACCTGCCTCTGCCTCCCAAGTGCTGGGATTAAAGGTATGCATCACTCCCACCCAACTAAATTAGTGTAGCTCTCAGAGCTTCCCCCACTAAAATTATTTTATTTATTGCATGTCTGCACGATGTATGAGTGTGGGCACAAGCATGCCAAATATAGTGAATGTATATGAGTGGGTGGGACAGAGGAGAGATAGAGGACTATTTTTTGGAAGCTGGTTCTCTCTTCCACTGAGGGATCACAGTGATCTAATCCAGGTTGTCAGATTGCATGGCAAGCAAGGCCAAGCACTTTTACCCACTGAGCCGTCTTGTCCTAGTTTAGGAGGGAACTGAAATGCACTCTGGTGTATGTATATGCACTTCACACATGTACACAACTGCGTGTGTGGTGTGGTGTGTGTGTGTGTGTGTGTGTGTGTGTGTGTGTGTGTGTGTGTGCATATGCACACACACACAGTTCCTAAAGAATTATATATAAATGTGACTAGTTCATATATATATAAACTATTCAGAGAGTTCCTAAAAATTCAAAGCAATGCCTTTTTTTTTTCTAACTTTTTTTTTGAATTTCACATCATGCACCCCAATCCCATTCATCTCCTTGTCCTTCCATATCTGCTCTCTGCCCTTGTAACCACACCCCCCAAAGAAAACAAAAAATAATAAAGAGTAAAACAAAAAAATCTGGCTGTGGAGGCTGCAGTGTGTACAGCGTGTCGGTATATCCTTTGGCCCAAACAGCTTGACTTGCAAATGTTGGTTGCAATTAATGACTGGACTGGTTTAAGGGGCAGGGCCAGCTCACCAGTGTGTCACAGTTGACATGGGGCGGGGCTTATTCTCCTGCTCTCATGCCCTCAGGGCCAGCTCCCTTATGCTGCCCAGGTGAGGAATGGATCAATGTAGTCTTCATAAACTAGTTATTAAGTTATCTACCAGAGTCAAGAGTCCATTTTCCATTCGAAAGAAATTATACTGTTTGTGATGGCAATTCTTGGTTGTCAACCTGACTACATCTGGAATTAGCTAAAACCCAAGTGGCTGGGTACACCTAGAAGGGATTTTCCCTCCCTTCTCCTGTCTTCCCCTCCCCCACTTTTGTCTTTCATGACAGGATTTCTCTGTGTAACAGCCTTGGTTATCCTAGAATTTGCTTTGAAAACCAGGCTGGCTTTGAACTCACAGATATCTGACCGCCTCTGCCTCCCGAGTGCTGGAACTAAAGGTGTGCGCCACCATGCCCAGCTGAAGGATATTTTTTTCCTTTTTTGTTTTTTCCAGACAGGGTTCCTATGTGTAACAGCCCTGACTGTCCTGGAACTTGCTTTGTAGTACAGGCTGACCTCAAACTCACTGAGATCCACCTATATCTGCCTTCCGAATGCTGGGATTAAAGGTGTGTGCCACCACTGCCCTTTGAGGGATATTTCTTAATAAAATCATTTGGGGCGGGAAGATCCAATTTTAATCTAGATCTTTGAGGTGGGAAGATCCACCTTTAACCTGGACCACACCTTCTGCTGGCAACCTATGTAAGGGACACAGAAGAAGGGAGCTCTCTTTTTTTGCCTGCTTGCTCTCAGTCATGCTCGAAAGTCCACTCTTTCACTGGCATTAGAGCCCACTTTTTCTGGATTCCAGCACTGAAGACCAGTTGAGCCTTATGGACTGAACAACTACTGGATTCTTAGACTTTCCATCAGTAGACAGCCATTGCTAGACTACAGCATGTAAGTCACTCTAATAAAGCCATTCCATATATATAATAATGGAAAATATATATATATTTCAACTCTATCAGTTTTGTTCCCCCAGAGAACCCCGACTAATATACTATATAATGAACTTTTCTTCATTTATCATAGTACACTAAAAACCATAATAATTCTGTTTTTTTCCCCCCTCCTGAGGTAGGGTTTCTTTATATAACGGCTCTGGATATCCTGGAACTTGATTGGTAGATCAGGCTGGCCTCAAACTCAGAGAGATCTGCCTGCCTCTCCCTCCCCGAGTGCTATGATTAAAGGTGTGCACCACCATCACCCAGCTCCATTAATAATTCTTTAAGAGTTAATGCCAATGTTATTCAATTTCTTCCAAAAAAAAAAAAACAAACACAAAAAGAGGGAACATTTCCCAATGTGTTTTATCACATCAATTCTAATGACACCTAAATCAGGTAGACAGATGATCACAAGATGATACTAATACCGCTCATGAACATAGATGCCAAAGTCCTCAATAAACTCTTACAGAAAATATCTCATCCACCAGTGTACTGAAAGACACAATATGCCACAGCCAAGTGAGCTATATTAAGGGTGGAAGGCCAGGTCAGCATTTGAAAATCAAGCAGTATAATCTACCACATTAGCAGGCTGTGCTGGTTAGATTTTTGTTCATGTAATACAAGAGTTACCTGGGATGAAGAACCTCAACTGAGAAAAATATCTTTGTCATATTGGCCAGTAGGCAGTTTTATGGGGCATATTTTTGATCAATGATTGATGTGGGAGGGCCCAGAGCACTGTGGGTGATACCACCCTGAGCAGGTAGCATTGGGTGCTGTAAGAAAGCAGGCCACTGATGGCATGATCCCTATGGTTTGTTTGCTCAGCCTGTTTTCTACCACCCAGGACTTATTCCCAGATGTTAAGGGTTATACTTAGCTGTAATAATCAAGATAGTGGTGTTGTATTGAGATAAATACAAAGATCAATAGGAAAGAATTGAGAATTCAAAAATAGACCCAGCAGGTGGTACACGACTAAAACCCCAGCACCTATGAGGCCAAAGTAGAAGAATACCAAGTTTTGAGTCCCTGTGAGATACAAAGTTATACCCTGCCACAAACAAACTAGCACCCACATAATACACTCAATTATTTTTTGACCATGGAGCAAAAATTAACTCAATGGGAGAAAGCTTTTTTGGTAATTGTACCAGAGTAACTGGGCATACTAAGGAAAAACAATTATTTTTTTTATTTCACCTTCATGTTTTATATAAAAATTAACTCAAAAATGGATCACAAACATATATAAAACTGCCAGATTTCCACCACAGAATAAAGAATGCTCTAAAAGCCAGGTGTGGCAATTCATGCCACCCAAGGCTACAAAATAAGAGCAGTCATGCAAAGGGAGTATCAGTAACTTGGATCTCACCCAAATCAAGACTTCTGTTGTGGGAAGTGAAGAGACATGTGACAAAGTAGAAGAAAATATTTGCATCATGTAGCTAATATGTTTTTAAGCCCAGGGTTATGTTTTCATTGCCTCTCAGGAGTCAAGAGTTAAACAACCCATTAGAAAATGAATGGGTAAAGATGTATGATCGGTCCCCGAAAATGGCACAAATATATGGCAAATAAAGCCACAAGATTCATCTCTCCAGGAAGTGCAAAGTAAAAGTAAAGATAATACTATATACAGTCTGAAAATAACCATAATGCAAAACTACTGACCCCAGATGCTGGAGAGAGCATAAAGCAAGATTCCACACATGACTCTGACACTAGTCAACATGAATACTGAACCTAGATAGATTCACCTTTCCAACTATTTGTTTTTAAGTTGCCAACTACTTGAGGCTAGGCAAGTGAAGTTATAGTAACAATGCAAGACATACCATCTTAAACCCAAAAGCTCTCAGTTCATTGCCACCCAATGTGGGCCATTTAGGCAATCATTTCTAGTTCACCATCAAGTGGAATAACTTTCAAATTAGAACTTCGACACTTAAAATACTAGCATCTTGTCCTCCTAGTGTAGCACAGGTCAGAGACTGGCAAACTATACCCCATGAAACATCTCTGGCTTGCTATCTGTTATTATCAATAAAATACAGCCGCCTATATATTACAAAACATCAAAGGTGAATATTTGTGACAGAGAATGGAAACCTTCCCAGGAAAAACTGACTCCTGACTTACATCAAGTTCTTTGAGGCCAGTAAACATTACTAATTCCTTCTAAAAAAACAACTGATTTTATTCTGAGGTATATTAAAATCCTACTTGTCTGAAACAGCCTATGATGAAACTATGTAAAGACAAATGCCATCTTTTTATAAGCGATATCTCAAACACCACACTTTCTTTTTTTCTGGAGACAGTATCCATGATGACTTCAAACTCAAAATGTAGCTGAGGATGACCTGAACTCCTGATCCTCCTACTTCTACTTCCCACATATTAGAATAATAAGTGTGCACTACTGTGACCAGTTTATTAAATGCAGGGCTTTGTGGCATGCATGTATCCCAACAGATGAGACACATCCCCAGACTCTCACATACCATGTTAAAAGTGGAAAATAGGCTCTATTAACTTAGGCCACGGTGGTCAAGGAAACAGGTTTTGCCAAGTCAAATAAAGCGATAAATACAGAAGAGAAACCAATCATTAAAAGAACACTCACGCTGTATGTGAATGAGCTGCTTTGGCATCTTGAACTCCCCAGGGTATATGGACTCATAGTAAGCGATGTTACTTTCTGCCTCAGGAACTGGAATAACCATATTATCCCGCTTCTCGCCGTACACTTGCTGTGCAGATATAGCCCGCTGAAGATGGTGTTCCTAAAAACAGGGAAAACACAAAATGTAAGCTCTAAATTATAGTCATCAGAATGTATAGCCTTACAGAAGATTCTGCTCATTTGCTTTCAAATGAAGGAATTCTGGTAGACCTAACAGCACAGCTAGTATAAGAATTTTTTTTTTTTTTTTTTTTTTTTGACACAGGGGCTAATTATGTAGACCAGGTTGGCCTCAAACTCACAAAGATTCATCTGACTCTGGCTCTGAGTCAGGCGTATGTAGCATATAAGAGTATTTTAAGTAGAGACGCAATTTCCTCAAAAGGCAGTATTTGCCAAAGACGAAAATCTGACTAATGGCATAAAAGCTTACACCTGAAGACAAGAGTTATTTTTTAAATTCAACTCTATTTGTTCCCATTTAGGATAATACAAGACAGGTATCAACTAGGAAGAAGATCAGCATAAAAATATCAATGCAAATTTGTTTACAGGGAGGAATCAAGAGAATGGAACAAGTTAGAATGAGTAGGGAGACAATATCAAACCCACCCCACAGTAGCCAGGTTACATAGGGTTACCACTGAAATGTCTAATTAAGTATTACCTACTAATCTTCAAGAGGAAGGAGAACCCATGAATGGTGATTTTTCACGGCAACTTTTGAATTTTCCTTTATGCACTGAGTAATGCTCCCCAATGCAACTAACCAACTATGCTTTACCAGTAAGCCATTCTGGGCTAGTGGACACAAGTTTAACACAGAATTGACATCTGGGGTTTGAGAATGCAGTGATAATTATATTTTGGCTTTTATTCTAGATTCTTGAGGCATATGAAGTGAAGGCAGCTACACTTTTGTGAGAATCATGAGTCTCTTGTGACCTACATGCAAAGTATACTGTCTGCATGAATGGGACTGTGTTGGCTGAGGCACTTTACACAGGCACATATGTGACTAGCACAGGCAGTGAGCCTAGATGTACCATGCCGATGCATTACAATACAGCACACTATGGAGCTAAGAGCACAACCAGCAGTGTGCTTCATCCAGGAGAAAGGTGACTGGTCCTCACACACAGCTAAGCCCACCCAGTTGTCCTAAATCATATGCCACAAGTATCAGGTTTCCAAGCGAAAAAACGATTCTAGGAAAGTCAGTGAATCTTTTCAAAAGTGTCACATTCATAAAACCAGGATAAGGCTACATCTATCTTGAAAGCTGAAGACAACAGATAAGAGGAGTTTCAGTCCTGAAGAAGATGCCCCCCAGCTCTGAGAAAGCATCATGTGTGTAACAAAAGTGGATGAGGGAACCTGGAAGGTTCAGTCCATTGCACTGTGAATGGAATCCAAACCTCAGGTTGGAAGTGAGCCATTTGGCTGTTCATTAACACTAGCACTATCTGTTTAATGACATGTTCAAAGGAAAAAGCAGGCAGGACTGTAATGGTAACTACAGTCCCAGATGTTGACTCTGCCTGCGATTTGCAGGTCCTTCAGTCCAACAGTGTTCTGTCTAGTGATTTCACGGGTGTTAGGCTCAGAGAAGGCCATCTCTGGCAGCAGAACCATCTTTCACTATAGATGTTACTTACTTTTCCACTCTAAAAGGTAAAGCCAAAAGCCTGCCTGCGCACCTAGGGTGGAGCGACATCAGAGCTCCAAGCTGAGGATTTCACCACTGATTTGGAGTACTCAGACTAACATAGAAGGGCAGAGGAGGAGCCTGGACTAGCTCCACAAATACCATTAGCTACTGATTTATGCCTAAGTCCAATTCTTTCACCTTGATCCTTACACAAAATAACTTCCTGAAGCCTGGTGGTAGTGGTGCACACTTTTAATCCCAGCACTTTGGAGACAGAAGCAGGCAGATCTTTGAGTTCAAGGCCAGCCTGATCTATAGAGTGAGTTCTAGGACAGTCAGGGCTACACAGAGAAACCCTGTCTGAAAACAACAAAAATTCAAACAGAACACTTCATGAATCCATTGCTTATTTACTGCTCTGTGAAGTTCAGCATCATAAGCTGATAGATGCCACCAACAGTTTACACTAGAAGGTCTTGCTACTAAGCCCTTAGCCGGGGCTCCAGAGGCAAAGGGCATACTTGCATGCATTTCTTCATTTAAATTCAGTCCCACATATTAAGAGAGAGCTCCAGACACAATTGAGGACAGAGATTTCCACCCTGAACAACTAGGGCATAAGCTTCTGTCAAAACTGCTAGGCTGGCAGGAAAGACAGTATGAGCCTGAATTAATGTCTATATTGGAATCTTCATGTGATGGATACAGAGACATCATTGTAGGTGTCTTCTGGACTACAGGACTGCACCATTGCTGTCTGTTGCTGGTACTACTTACTTTAAAGAACCAGGATGGAAAGCAGAGCTCAACTTACTATATAGGAAGACAAGCAGACTATGATTAAGAAATATTTTATGATTCAAATATCCTATAAATTTAAAAGGCTCTTTCATGGGGATCAACTAGAAGGATCCTTTCTTGGAAAGGAATTATTATCTTCCTCCTAATAAACACATACTCAAAAGGCCAATCTTCTGTCACAAGTAATAATTTTTCTTCTGAATTTCTCAAGTCCCCTCTGGACACAGTAAGAATAGGAGTGGAAGCATGTGCTCTGAACTCAGGCTGTTTGAATTAGAGCCAACTCCAACAGCTAACGGTTTGTGATTCCTGGCAAGTCTTCCAGTTAGTCAGTGAGGGGGGAGGGGCAGGGTACTGAAAGTGCCTTTACAGAATTGGCTAGAATTTAAGTAAGATAAATGTGAGGCTGAAAGGTGTGGTATAACAGGCATGCAAAATAAGCTTTGATTCAGTTATTACTCAGAAAGCTCTTACCAGTTGAGAGAACACCAGCTGCTAAAAAGTATTGTCCTCATCTAGCCCTACAAAAGACTAATTTAGCATAAACTCACACACACACACACACACACACACACACACACACACACAAGAAAAGCATTCCAATTGTCTGAAAAGCTCACTAAGAATGTATATATTCTCTCAAATACTTTTCTATACATATAAATACAATCTGTAATACAGTAATACAGTGATATACAGAGAGCATTATTGTACAACAGTCTTACTACATGCTTTGTGTCACTTGATATATCTTGAAGAGCTTTCCATACTGAGACTTTACTCTCTTCAGTAGATACTCTAGGTTTCGTTGTATAAGTCAAGTGCAGATTGACAGTGGAGGAAAAACAAACCAGGGAACAATCTAAATGCATAAACTTTCTCCTTAAATGCTATAAAAACAAATCATCACTGTTGTACTATATACAGGCATTTTTTTTTTGGACATGGGAAAGCATCTACAGACAATTACAACGTGTTTAAACAGACTCTCAACATCTATTCCAACATCCCCTGGGGTAATACTATTCAGCAACCCTGGCCACCCCCCCCCCCCATACAGGGTTTCTTTGTGGCTTTGGAGGCTGTCCTGGAACTAGCTCCTGTAGACCAAGCTAGTCTCGAACTCACAGAGATCCACCTGCCTCTGCCTCCCGAGTGCTGGGATTAAAGGTGTTCACCACCACTGCCCCGCAGCCCTGGCCATTTTTATTTTTATTTTTTTAGACAGAATCTCACTCCGGAGCCCAAGTACTGGGTTCCAAGCAGATGCCATTGCCTGGCTTAGTATCTCTTTTAAAACAAACAAACAAAAAGCCCATCAATCTTTATCTCATTTTATATATTTTTATTTTGGTATAACAGGTGTGCATTTTCCTTACAAGTTATTGCTAAGTTCCCCCAACTGTCGCTTTTCTTTGCTAAGCTCTGAAAGGGCTTCCATTAATGTTAAAGGAATGAGTTTCATGTAATAACTGTACAAACTTTTGCTATAGTTTTATCTTCTGGATTTTTTGTTTTGTTTTGTTTTTGTTTTTCCAGACAGGGTTTCTCTGTGTAGCTTTGGAGTCTATCCTGGCACTCGCCCTGGACACCAGGCTGGCCTCGAACTCACAGAGATCCACCTGCCTCTGTCTCCCGAGTGCTGGGATTAAAGGTGTGTGCCACCAATGCCCGGCTGGATTTTTTATATATAGAAAGTTCTGTAACTCAAACTCACAGGCCACTTTATAGCTTGTCACACTTGATCTCGGAAAAGTTGCAAACACTGTGGTGCATAAACAAATGCTTTGTTTATAAATCTGTTTTATGTTTGTGTCGAAACTTTCCATTACTACTGGTTCCCGGGAGATGGCAAAAACTAAATGTGAACGAGGAGGAGAATTGATGTTAAGCCCAGAGACAGAGACCCCTGGTAAGCCCCAGATGGAAAGGCAGACACAGGACACACTTCTGCTCTCAGATGCACACACTTCTGGATGTCAGCAGGAAGGAGAGGGAGGAGGAAGGAGAGAGGTAGGGCACTTCATCCTCACTTCTTACACTTGTTCCCAGCTCTGAACCTTTTAGTCATGGTTTATCTTTTATCCTCCTGCAAATCTACCCTGCACCCTGAGGATACATTTGAAATGCAGAGAGTGTTGTAGCACATCTGTAGTCCCAGCGTTCCTGCAGTGAGCTTGGGAGTGGATCCAGGAGTCTCCAGAAGCCTGAGGGCCAGCTAGCTTGCATACAAAGCAGCAAATGATGAGATCCTGTTACAGATAAGGTGTAAGGTGAGGAAAGACTGACAGCCAAGATTGTTCTCTGACACTGTCTACAGTGTCATTAGATTGTCATTATAAGAGCTGGTTGAGGGTACTTGCTGCCAAAGAGTATATGCCTCTAAATAGGCCACATCCTTAATTTCTGAAAAGTCAGAAAAACACCTCTTGCAAAAATAAATAAATAATAAAAATCCCAGAATTCTTAGCTTCCAGGAGATGAATCTGTCTGAAAGGTGGGTCCTGTCAATGTGTCATAAGCATCTATCTGCTCACATGGGGCTTCGTGTGCTCCAGCTACTCACCACGCTCACTCCACCATGGAAAAACCCCACTTGTTCTTCACAGTCAAGCTTATAACAACCTTCTCTACCTCATGCACAGGTA